TGGGGCAAAGATTTGGGGGAAAGAGGTAATTTAAACATTCACATTACCATCTAAAGAACGTAGTGCTAGCAATTAGATGACCAGATTCAAGCAATAAGCTTTCAAAACAATAATATGTAGCAGTTACAACAAACCCTGACATCCATTTTTTTAAAGAAAATGTTTCATTGATTATAGAGAGGAAGGGAATGGGAGAGATAGAAACATTAATGAGAGAAAAACATTGATTAGTTGCCCTCCTGCAAGCCCCCTACTGGGGAATGAGCCCACAACGCAGGCATTGCCCTTGACCAGAATTGAATCTGGGACCCTTCAGTCCGCAGGCCAACACTCTATCCACTGAGCCAAACCAGCTAGGGCCTGACAAGTTACTTATAATAAAATATAATTTTAACAGAAATAATATATAAATCTGGTAAAAGATTAAAACTCATTTTACACCAAGAGCAAATTATAAGAATAGACATAAAGGAGTATGTTTGAACTATATCTAAAGTATGTCTGAAGTCGTAGGCTTGAAAAACAAGGATGCATGCCATTAAAAAAGGGCGGTTCGGTGTGTGTGGTGGGGGACGAATAAATAATCACTCAAGTTCAAAACCTGCGAATGGGCTAGAAATGGGGCAAAGGAAACTAAAAAGAAAATAAACAAATGGGTCTACATCAAAACAAAAAGCTTCTGCACAGAAAAAGAAACCACCAACAAAATGAAAAGAGATCCCACTACATGGGAGAACATATTTGCCAATGATACATCCGATAAGGGGTTAATTTCCAAAATATACAGGGAACTCATATAACTTAACAAAAGGAAGACAAACAATCCAATTAAAATCTGGGCAAAGGACCTAAATAGGCACTTCTTCAAAGAGAACATACAAATGAGGCACACGCTCCCAGCTGGGAATCAAACCCATGACCCAGGGGCTGATGCTCCAACCACCAAACCAAACCAGCCAGGGCAGCAGTTCAGTTCTTTTGAAAAATTCTCTAAATATTTCTTTGGTTGAAAACCAATTTGGTTTTGTTTTTAAATGACATTTTCATTGGATATAGAATTCCAAGGTGACAGTCTTAGTCTTTCCTAAAAAATAAAGATGTTCTTCCATTGTCAAACAAAACCTAGAAATGGTTTTACCACATGCCATTGTTTTGTTTGCTTTTATATTTTAACATTCTAAGAGTAAAATCATTCCACGTACCTCCTATATCATCTTTGGGATGGGATCTAGTCAGGTTACAACTTAACCATTCTCTGATTCTATAATTCAGATTTCTAATACAGAAATTGTTAATGAATTCAAGATAAAAGACGTTAAAAAAAATGACAACAAGACCAAAATGGAGTCAGTTATGCAAAGCCCCATGCCACCAATTCAGTTCTTAATTCCTAACTTAATTACAGTTTCTGCCTCTGGAAAGGAATTTTAAACCAGGAATGGAATCTTAAAGCAGTCAACCTGGAATTACGTGGTCAGCACTAGTGAGATAATCTGCAAGGACACCCACCGACCCTTAAAGCAGCGGTTCTCAACCTGTGGGTCGCGACCCCTTTGGGGGTGGAATGACCCTTTCACAGGGGTCACCTAAGACCATCGGAAAACACGTATATAATTACATATTGTTTTTGTGATTAATCACTATGCTTTAATTATGTTCAATTGGTAACAATGAAATTGGGGGTCACCACAACATGAGGAGCTGTATTAAAGGGTTGCGGCATTAGGAAAGCTGAGAACCACTGCCTTAAAGGAAAGTGGTCGTGCCACACAAACCTGCTTTTTGCTAGTATAACCTCCTTGTCCTGCTCCCTTTTGCCTATAAAAGACTTTCATTTTGGAGCTCCTTTCTGTCTGCTAGGTGGGATGCTAACCAATTCATGAATTATTAGATAAAGCCAGTAAGTTATTTAAAATTTACTTAGTCAGATTTTTAAAATAAGTCCCTGGCCCCTAAATTAAGTCAATTAGCTTTTAAATGTCTCACCATATATACTTTTTATAAATATAAGAAAATTTAAAAGCTTGAAGTTTTCCTTCAAGAGCTAACCAGTGTTTAAATGGAACCATATTGGGGGGAGGGGAATATTAAAAAGTTCCTTGTGTGTTAATAAGCAGTTTTCCATAATTTGTTTAGTCATATAATTATCTAAATTTCATCTGACAAGTAGGCCCTCTAGAGATTTCTGAATAAAAATATAAAAATGTGTTAAAGTCTATAGTTGTTTCACATTAACAAATCGAAAACAATAATCCAAATCTCCATGTTTTCTACTTTAAATATTAATAAAAAAACTTTATAAGGATGTCTTCCAGCTTGCAAATAGTGGCATAAAAATCACTTCTTTTTCCTCCCAGAAAATATCCAAGGACAAAAAAGAAAAAGTAACAAACATCATTTTCAGTGAAACCAGGATACAGCTGAATATCCAAGTCGCAAAGTCAGTGGGAGAGCCCCCACCTTGAAGCAGCAGGGATCAAACAGGAGCACACACAGGAGGCAGAGAGAACACTGCAGCTGTGGCTTTCCTAGAGAATGACGTATACTTCGCAGGCACAGAACAAAACCCAAATCTCTGTGCTGCACCAACAGGGGCTCCCCTATATCCAATTTTGTTTTCAGAAGAAGCACAAGTAGAGACTTTCTAATTCAGTAGGGGCAGTGGGGGGGGGGGGGGGGGGGGGGGGTCAAAGCCAGCCATATTTGCAAGAAACAGACTTGTCTCTATATGGCAGTTGGGAAGAAGAGATACTTTGGATTCAAAAACAAACAAACAACAGTGCTGCATAATCCTGGTGGTTGGAAAGAAGCAAAGGCTACATGACTCAAAACACAAAATTCTTGTTAGGTCTCAACAGTGCTCTGGTCCTCCTTCCAGCATAAATATTCTAAAACGTACTGGCCCAAGAAAGTCAACCCTACATCAGAAAATGAGCATTCAAAGTAAAAAATTAAAAAATGCAAATTCTAGGCTGAGATAACATAAGATAAAAGAAGAGAGGAAATGAAAAATCATGGCAGAGTAATCACTGCCAGGAAATAAAAACACAAAACAGAGGCAGAGAGAATACAAACAGTAGTAAAATAACAGGAAGTAACTAGCAGAGTTCAGGAGGAAAGAAGTGGAAGAAAAAAATAATAAAAACCACAAAAATGAAGGCAAAACTCAAGTACATAAGGTGACTGCTGAAAACACACCAAAGGATAAAAATAAGAACAGCAAGCAAAATGAAAAGGAAAGAGGAGTTTTAGAGGATTTGAGAAAAAAAATGATAACTATGGAAGGAAGACAGGCAAAGGAGAGTTAGCGTAAGAATAATCAGAATCCCTGAAGAAAACCATATTAACAAGAGACTATTTAAAGATGAAATTCAGACTTTCTTCAATTCAATAATTTAGCTATCCTAAAACATTATCCAGATTATAAAACATGTAAAAATGGAAATGTTAAAAACATTACATATATATATGTATGTATATGTATATATATGTGTGTGTGTGTGTATATATGTATGTGTGTGTGTGTGTATATATATGTATATATATATCCCAGTGTACAACATTCATGCACTGGAGGGGGGGGTCCCCTCAGCCCAGCCTGTGCCCTCTCGCACTCTGGGACCCCTCGGGGGATGTCTAACTGCTGGCTTAGGCCCTCTCTAGCTGCTAGAGCCTAAGCCAGCAGTCAGATATCCCCCGAGGGGTCGTTAGGACTGCCACAGTGGTGCTGCACTCGCCAGCCATGAGCCCGGCTTCTGGCTGAGCAGGGCTCCTCCTGTGGGAGCTCACTGACCACCAGGGGGCAGCTCCTGCATTGAGCATCTGCTCCCTGGTGGTCAGTGTGCATCATAGCAACCAGTTGTTCTACCATTTGGTCAATTTGCATATTAGCCTTTTATTATATAGGATATTTTTATTGATTTCAGAGAGGAAGGGAGAGGGAGAGAGAGATAGAAACAATAAGAGAGAATAATTGACCAGCTGCCTCCCGCAATGCCCCCCACTGGGTTTCAAGCTGCAACCCAGGCATGTGCCCTTAGTAACTAGGTACAGAGTTAATTAGTATCCCTAATGCACATTCCTGTTAGCCTATAGCAGGGGTGGGCAAACTTTTTGACTCGAGGGCCACAATGCGTTCTTAAACTGGACCGGAGGGCCGGAACAAAAGCATGGATGGAGTGTTTGTGTGAACTAATATAAATTCAAAGTAAACATCATTACATAAAAGGGTACGATCTTTTTTTTAAGTTTTATTCATTTCAAACGGGCCGTAGATTGCCCATGGCCAGGCCAGGCCTTTAGGTGTGGTCTCACAGCTTCATCCCAACACATGGGGCTTTTTGCAAAGCCCGAGAAAGGTCTGGAAGTCCCATCCATATTTGGGGGACAAAGAAACCAAAGGGTATAAAGGGAAAGCTTCCTCCATATTGGTTTGCTCAGGATTTGGAAACAGGCTCCCGTAAGTCACGGTACTAGTACATCTGGAAATAAATGGGTTTTTCCTGTATCTCTGAGTACTCCTGTGTGAGTATTTTCCAGTCGCCTGGTAAATTCTGTAACAACGTAAAGACTGGTTTTAATAGACGATGAGAAACAGGGCAATGACAAAAATAAGCCACTTCTGATTACTTTATCAACTAAACAAAATATCAATAAAAATACCAACAGCAGTTTTTGAAACTAAACAAGCTGATTTTTATGTTTACACAGAAAATGGTAAAAACAAAGAGAAAAGATTTTATTAATTAAAAGTATATGTTTAACCACTATGCTGTACATTTGAAACTAATACAAAATAATATTGAATGTAAACTGTAATTTAAAAATAAAATAAAAAACGTATGTTATTTCTTTTCTGCAACACTATTTAGGAGGCCAGTCACAACGTACCAGCAATGTCATCTGAAGAGTCTTCATCATGAGGTATTGTCGGCCTTTTACTTCTTTTGGCTTTCTCAGATAAAACTTTGGATGGCTCTTTCACCCGCATCTGTTATTTACTGAAAAGGTTGGGGGGGAGGGGGGATATGAATATAATTTAATCCTCAAAAATAAAATTTTATGTATTATACTCAATGCATATTAAAATTGAGATTACTTCCATTTTAATTGATCTACTACATCAACAGAGGAAGAGGGGAGAGTCAGCTGGAATGAAAAAGTCTTTATTAAACCAACATAAAATGGCACTTTATATGTGACTTTTACTGACTACTCCCGAGATATATGCTATCTAGGTGAATGAAAAACTAAAGTTCTGATCAATGGAACCAGCGCTCTTCTAAGTCAGGTGCTCCCCTTGCCCTGTCTGTCTCACTAGCTAGGGAGATAGTAGGAGTTGGTAAAGCTACAATGGGCCAGGGATGGAAGCCATGTGCCAAGCACAGTAGAACCACCCCACCTTTCTGTATGACCTAGTGCTAGGCTACTGAGAGAGAAATAAGTTTCTACCTTTCCCCCACTTTTTATATTTTTTTTAAATTATTTTTTTAATATATTTTTTTATTGATTTCACAGAGGAGAGGAGAGGGAGGGAGAGAAACATCAATGATGAAAGAGAACCATTGATCAGCTGCCTCCTGCACACCTCACCAGGGACTGAGCTTGCAACCCAGGCACATGCCCTGATCAGGATCAAAATGTGACTTCCTGGTTCATTGGTAAATGCTCAACCACTGAGCCACACTGGCCTGGCTCCCACTTTTTTATTATGAAAAGTTTTAAACTTCCACAAAAATTAAAAGAACAATATAATGAATACCCATATACTATCTAAATCCCACTAAAACATTTTGCCATACTTATTTTATCTAAATAGCAATGTGCATATAGACATATATACCTGTGTTTGTTTTGGGGTGTTTTTTTTTAAATATATTTTTATTGATTTCAGAGAGGAAGAGAGAGGGAGAGAGAATATTGGGGATAGAGCCCACAGCCCAGGTATGTGCCCCTGACCAGAATTGAACCTGGGTCCCTTCAGTCTGCAGGCCGATGATCTATCCACTGAGCCAAACCAGCCAGGGCTGTATGTTTGTTTTTGCTGAACTATCTGAATGTTGCAGACAGCATGTATCTCTTAAGAATAACAATATTCTCCTATATAATCACATCACATCTCAGAAAATTAACATATTTAATTTCTTCCGCTGACCCAAAAGTGTCTTCTATACTGGTTTTTTGAATAAGGATTCAATCAAGGCTTTTGTATTGGTTATGTAGCTTTAGTACTTTTTAATTGACAACTGTTCTTCCCATAAAAGATGGAAAGTTAACAGTGCCCTACTTTCCTAAGACACTGGCTTTTTTAAGAGATCAGGGCAGTGCATGAGTCATTCTGGAAGTTTTGCTAAAATGTAGATTTTAAAAGGAGACATATGTACTACTACTTGTAATACTTTAAACAATAAAATAAAATTTAAAAAATAAACAAATAAAATGTAGATTTTGATTAAACAAGACTGTCACAGGACCTGAGATTCTGCCTCCTTCGCAAGCTCCCAATGGGAAGCCAGTGCTGGGGGTCCACTTTGAATAGCAAGACTCTAATACCCCACATTGAATTTGACTCTTTCCTCATGGTTTTATTTAACTCTATCTCTTAAGTTTCTTAAAACTCAGTTAATTCTAAAGATTTTAGATACAAGTTATGCGATTTTTTTAAACCACTATATTTTGGAGTCTTTATTTTTTTAAAAAAATATATTTTATTGATTTTTTACAGAGAGGAAGGGAGCGGGATAGGGAGTTAGAAACATCAATGAGAGAGAAACACTGATCAGCTGCCTCCTGCACACCCCCCACTGGGGATTGCCTGCAACCAAGGTACATGCCCTTGACTGGAATCGAACCTGGGACCCTTGAGTCCGCAGGCCGACGCTCTATCCACTGAGCCAAACCGGTCAGGGCTACAGTCTTTATTAAAGTAGCTTAGCCTAAGTCCTACCAAGTATCACCCTGCTCCATGGCTAAGCTACACTGTAATATTCATGATGATTTGTTTATTTGCTTTTATTGATCAAGGTGCAAGAATCTTTCAACTCAGTAATAAATTCTGAATCTTGATTTAGTTATATAATGTCCCACGTTAGGGAGCTTTTGTGAGTCATTTTATGAGTAATTTCTTTAAGTCCAAGGGTCACCATATTGAACTGCAAAAAATGAAGGCCTTCAAGGTCACAGAGATGCACAGGCCTCTGAGTTCCTTGACCACTTCATTTCTGATTGCCTTTTACCTCCCACTTCCTCATCCGCTTAGCCCCACAGTCCTGCTCTGCAAAATCACTAATCCAAGTATTCCATTCTCGGACCACATCTTCGAGTTCTTCCAGCTTCCTTGCCCAGCCACTTCTGCTCTCCTTTAGTGACCGGGCTACAGGAGGCTGCATCTCAACAAGTGCTCCCAGGACCACTGCAGCAGGGCAGGAAAAAGGAGACCTGGCAAATGGGAGTGCTGGTTCCTCAAGCGTCACTTGGAAGTGACAGGTGTCATGTCTGCTCATATTTTACCGGGCAAAACAAGTCAGATGGCAACTCATTTCAAGTAGACATAGAGAGCGGGGATGTTAGCGTATACAAAGAATGCTGTCTTATCGTGTTCCCAGGAAGAACAGAATATGTGTGCATAGCCTGAATGAGTACATCACTGCTCTAACAAAACCCCAATCCTAGATGAACACAATTAACTACTTTCTCAATGTCTGCATCCAAATGGGCAGGAAGAGTCTCCTAAGAAAGCAGAGTGGGTCCACTAAATTCACACCCAATCTCAAATGCATGAAGACATGCCATTATCTATTATTCTTTCTGGTCAACGTATCTATCCTCACACAGCCACTTGAAACCTTTTTCACTCTCCCAAACCTCCAACTCTTCCATCTCCCTATTCCTCAAAATAGAATCTGGTTTTCTACTTTACTGAAAGAGACATAATCAGATGGCAAATCTGATCTTTCCACCCCCAAACATACAAATTTACCCCCAACTATGTTAAGTTGATGTCCCCCAAAAAGAGGTAGACATAACTAAAAGAATCCAGGAAAAGCGGCCCATGAATGCACAGATAAACTCTCAATAAAGAAGAACATTAACACATTAAAAAAAATTAAAACAAAAAAGAACCGGGTATTTTATCTAAAATCTGTAAAAGACAGACTTTTTTGTTTTTCTCAAAAACACTGACTCAAACTTAACTTGGCAATGTCAATTTCCAGTGATTTTCCTGACATATACAATATGTCTACACATACTAGTACAGAATCATTTTGGACAGCAATCACTTATCTGTATGCGTTTCTTTTTTTCAATTTCCCTTTAGAGCAAAAAGAGACGAGTCCAATTACTAGAGCTTCAAATACTTTCTATCATCAGTATTGTGTCTGGGGTGTTCCAAGACCACCCTCACATTCGGAGATTCACTAGAGCGACTCACAAAACTCAGCATATACAGCAGTTAGTTGTACTCATAGCTCACGTTTACTACGGCAATGTAGTATGAAAATACCGCCTCATCATAATGGAAAAAGATACAGCCAAAGGCTGGAGGAATCCATGTGTAGGCTTCTTTATGTTCTCTCCCTCCCAGAAGAAATCAAATCCAGCAAAATGTCTGTGCAATGTTTTTGCCCAGGGGAGCCCATTACAGACTCGCAGGCCCAGGATTTTGATGGGAGCTGATAACTTCAGAGCAACCATATTATAAAGCATAAACCATATTGTTGCCAGATACCAAACAAGCGCTAATCTTGCAGGAAGGAGCCTTTCTAAAAAGACAGCAAGCCCAGGCCTACTATGCTCCTTTCAGCACAAATGCTTTCGGACCATCTTTCTCAGTTTTCAACTTCAGCATTACTCTAACATCTGTTCTTTTCTTTAATGTAGGATGTACTACTAAGTTGTTTAGGAATGTTTAATTTTTTAAAAGCAGGTTATGCAAAATAAAAGCCGTATTCTTTAAAAAAAAATTCTTTTTCTTACTCTTGGGCAATTATTTTCAGCGGCGGGAGGCCAGGTTGGGGGAGGGAGGGGAAATTGGGACACAACTCTCCTTTTAGATTCCAGGCTCAAGGAGATGAACAGCACTTACAGTTTTACTGAGCAGCACACTCGCTTCCAAGCACGTCTAAGCCCAGGGAATCCGCACTACCACCCTATGAGGTAGGGTACTATTATTTCGCCCATTTTACACTTGAAGAAACTGGGGTACACAGAGATTAAGGGACGGGCAGGGTTCCCAGAGCCAGGAAGTATGTGTGTGTGTGTGGGGGGGGGGGTGATCTGGACCCAGGCAGTCCGTCTCCAGAGCTCCCAACACTGCGCGTTGCAGCCAGAGACCCTGTAGACACGCGGCCCCCGGTCACGAACACAAACACCCCCCGTTTCTTTGGAGGAAATGCGTCGTGGAGGAG